GTCGCTGATTCCTTGTATGTTGAGGAAGCTGAGGAAGACGAACCTGCCAGTCGAGATGCCAACTCCTACCTGGATAAGCTCTGGACCTTACTCTTGGCCTATGCTATGGCGGGGTCCGCCGCTTGTGCTACAGCTCCTAGTGTAGCCGAGGGACTAAGGTCCAATTCCGTGGAGTATGTTGAAGTGCCGGTGGATATTATTCAACAATACTTCTATCGAGCCAAACGGAGTGCAGCCCTGGTCCCGTTTAACCAGCGTCTGGAGTGGCTCCAGCAGCGAGACAACGATGAACGGTCAGAGTGGGTTGCCCGCTTTAGGGACAGTCAGAAGAGCCTAGGCCGTGTGATCCAAGAAGTTTACGCTATGCGTGATGCCCACTGGTCGGTCCCAATCACCACAAGCGGAACCCCCTCGAGTCGTTCCACACCAGAGCCGGTTACCCCAGTGAAGTCCGACTCCAATCGGTGGACTTTGGGTAATCCCATCAATGGGCGCCAGGTGGCCAAGATCCTCAAAGACGGGACTCGCCTGTGTCAGGCCTTCCAACATGGCCAGTGCAAGGCCAAAGCCAAGCATCGCTGTGGCTTGGTTTTGCGCAAGGAGCGTGCTTGTGGAGCCCCCGGTCACGGCGCGGCGGCCTGTCGTGGCCGTGGCGGGAAGAAGTGATGGGGCCCCGAGGGGGAGGACGGGACGGACTCCCCCTTAGGGGACATTGATGCTCCCCGTCCCTTGGTTGCTGACCTGTTCTGTGGGCCCAACCTGCCACTATCTAAGGCCTTCCTTTGGTGCGGGTGGCGCGCCTTGTCAGTGGACTGGCTGTTGGACAAGTCTCATGACCTTTCCAATCCGCTACGTCAGCAGTCACTTCATGATCAGCTCTCCGAGGTCGACTTTATCTGTGCAGCTTTTGACTGCTCCACCAAGAGCAGAGCCAGAGAAATTCCGCGTCAGTTTGAGGACGGCCGCCCGTGTCCAGCGCCTTTGCGCTCTGAGCAATATCCGGATGGACTGCCCACACTACAAGGACGCGACCTTCAGCGGGTCCGCACAGACAACCAAGCCTGTGAGTTTATCCTTGAGGAGATTCGACTGCTCGCCGAGCGAGGCGGAGGGTCGGTATACGAGAGAACCCTTGGCGCAGCCTACATTGGTGGGGGTCCACCGAGTGCTCTATGATGGACACCGGATGCTGGAAGGACAAACGCTATGATGCGTGCTGCCTCGGAGGAGCTCGTTGCAAGGCACAGTGCTTACGCCGCAATATCGATGAGATCGATCAGTGGCCGCCACTTACTTGCCACCATTCGCATGCACCTCATGAGTGGACTCCTTACCTTCAGGACGGCCGGACGATCTATCCATCCAAAGAGGAGGCCGAGTATACGGCTGTCTTGGCCTTCGCTATCGCGGTCGCAGCATCGTGGTGGGCCGGGCGCGTGGGTCGCGCCAAGTTGCATGTTCCACGGCTGCCGCAATTCGAATGTGTCGGAGCCCGCGAACATTGGCTGGACCTGGACCCCCGGGCATTACGGGAATGGGCGATGGCGCCCCTCGCCCTGGGGCTGGGCCTGTATCCACCAGATCCGAGTGAAGCTGCCCGGATCCCCCGTCGGGCTCAGGTGGATGACGTCCTCATCGAGAAAGGTAAGTTGCCGCCCAATCATATCTACGTAGGTCAGGGCCGCGGCTCTCATCGTCTGGCGAAGACCAAGTGGGCATCCCCGGTTATCCCCGGCTTGAACAGTCAGTCTAATGATTGGTTATGGCGCTACGTCGCCTACCTCTATGAGTCCGGCCTGGTGAACAACCTCTATGAACTGCAGGGCAAAGTGCTGGTCTGTGACGGTCCTTTCTGTGATCCTTGTGAGGCGGACGTGCTTGCGGGCCTGTGTTTTGCAAGACGAGCCAGCCACGAGGCCGTCACACAATGCGTCGCTTCAGTCGGGGAGGGACCCCACCAGCCCGCCAAGTTCTCGTTACGGGTCTGCTCAGCACAGTACAAGGCCTCCCAACGAGCCCTACACGTTGGTGGAGCCAGGAGGCCCTGATCCTTGCTTTTCGTAAGTTGTACCCAGCTCACTTCTTCACAAATTTCCAGTTTCCGATGGTCGAGGATATTATCAATGCTGCCCCGTTCAATGCATTCCCTGTGAAGCTGCGCAACAGGCATTACGAGACCGATGGACCTTTGGGCCCACACTTGGCCGACGCTCAAGTCCGCCAGACTCTCCGCACTGCCGAAGGTCAGCAAGTGGGTGCACTGAACCAGCGTGCAGCACTTCCTCCACTGCTATCCTACGACCTCAACCCTGATGAGCACTTCACCCAAGCGTTGGCGCGAGGCCGGGATTTGCTACCTACCGAGTTACCAGCAGTGCTGGATCTGGATCTGGCCTTTGCTGCAGACTGCCACGCTCACTACCGAGGCCGTCTACGAGATCTTCGCCGTACAGCAGTGCATGGGGGCCCTGCGGGAGCTCCATCGGCGTTGGTAGGACGACGTCTGCGGCAATTTCAACCTATCGCCTTGCAGGCTACCACGGCCACTCGCGACCTCGGCTTCGTTGCACTGTTGATCTTGTTGACTTCATGGCCGGATGTCACATATCCATTCGGGCTTATTGAAGGCCTCCCAGCGGTGGGCTACGCGCCGTGCTACGGAGTCTTTCCATCTCAGCCTGCTGAACGCATTACCCTCACAGAGGTCCTATCGGGATGCGAGGCGCACAATTACCAGATCTTGTCTACCCTTAAGCCGGGCAAAGATGACCAGTTCTTGCTAGAACAGTCTACTAAGGATGCAGCACGGGGATTCTGTACCCCACCGTTGACCCTGGCACAGTTGCGTCAGGCAGCTGCATGGGCAGCCGTATCGTCTGATCCCACGCTGTGTGATCACCCAATCCTCGGGTAAGCAGCGTATCATCGACAATGCTGATGCTGGAGGACAAACCTTGCGGTCGTCCGATGCCAATAAACTGGTACTGTGCTCGCCCCTCAGACCGGCCCAACACATCAGCCAAGTCCTACGCCATATGAGCCCAACTGAGCTAGCCCAAGCAGCGGCTACAGACACCTGGGAGTCAGGTGGGGAAGATTGGCCGGATGCCTATCGGCACAGTCCTATGGGGGTCAACGAAACGCGAGGATGCGTGGTCACTTTCTGGCATCATGAATGGGCAGCCCCAGCCTTCCAAGTCTATGCTGGCCTATTGTTTGGTCTTCCTCTGGCTGTGACATCATTCAATCGATACAGTCGGCTTGTGGAAGCCCTTGGGCGACGTTTGTGCTACGTCTTAGTCTCGCTCTACTTTGACGATGCATCCATTCAGAACTGGTCTTCGAGCCGGGGGTCGGCTCAATGGGCATTTGGAGTATTAAACCAACTCCTGGGCACCCCCTTTGCGGAGGAGAAGCGTCAAGCCATGAACCCTAAGGGATTATTCCTAGGCCTGGACCACGATCTCTCTGCAGCCCTGTCAGGGGGCTTTGTCTCCTTTTGGGCGAGGGAGCGCCTGGAATCCAAGTTGAAGGCCATTATCCATGAATGCCGTGAGACACAAACTCTCAAGCCCGGTGTGGCGGCCAAGCTGTACGGCTTAGCCAACTTCTTCGAACAAGGCGTCTACGGACGGATTGGATGCGGAGGTCTCCACGCTATTAAGGAACGTCAACTTGTCCGGGGTGATCAGATGACTCCCGCCATTGAACAATGCTTCCAAATTCTCGAGGCCGTGATCTCTATCCATCCAGAGCGTGAACTTGATGTCTGGCCACGACACCATGAGGGCTTCGTTGCAGCGTCCGATGCTGCCTTGGAGACCCCAGGTGAAGGCACGGGTGGTTTTCTCCTCGTCTTCTTCCACGAGAACATCGAGCTTCGGCTTGGGTTTGTGTCCCACCTCCCCTCGTCCATCTATGACCTTTGGACTCCAGGAGATGCTAAGATAGCGCAGCTAGAGCTCTTGCAAGTTCTCATTGCATTGACTACCACACCTGAGCGATTCCGCAATCGCCGCGGCACATGGTACATCGACAACACTGCTGCTTTGATGGCGCTCATCAAGGCAGATCAGACAGTCCTGACCTCGAACATATGAGTCACATGATTCATATTCTTTTGTTTTCACTTAGATGCTGGATTTACTTTGAGTGGATCCCCTCCAAAAGTAATTGGATTGACGCGATTTCCCGTGAGGGACATGCGGATAGATGGTACCACGACCAGGGTTTCACTAGTCGAGTGGCCACATTTTTCGAACCACTCTGGTATTTTCCCTTTTCCGTCACTCTGCGAGTCGGTCTCTTCCTTTAAAGTGCGTTGGGAGAAATGCATTGGGTAGATACATCGCTATGGATACGTCTGGGTGGACGAGTCTCCA